ATGGGCGCGCATCCTCAATATAACACCTACCGCGCCCTGATCTGGCCCCCGTGTTGGTCCAGCGCATTTACCGCATGGTTCGTTGTAGTGGTATACCTCGGTTGAGTTTATAGCAAACCAGGGACGGTTTGACTGGACATAAGCAACCAACTTACACCCCGGCACGTATGCGCACTTTAAACGTCACATTAACCTGATAAGCGCAATGTGTGCTTGCCAATTTTCCTGCGCGCTGTGGGGTCAGTAAGTATCCGTGCACATCTAGTTCACCAAGCCGCCGCTCCTAAGGTCGTACGTCCAATTTCCCCAAACACAGAGCTGAGGCGGCGCACAGGGAGTGAGAAAGAGAGAAAGAGAGACCAACGTACTTCTAAAGTTCATTTCTGAACTAGAATTACGAAACATAAGGTGGAATTTTTGAAACTGCGGAAGCAGCCCTAGACTGAGCCAATGAGAATAGGAGTTGAATTTTCGCATCAAAACCACGCGGATGTTCAGCGTGGCTGGAAGCATGAAGCATACCTGCGATCGCAGCGGTCATGTGCTGCTTTACGATGATCGGGTTGGACATGTATCGACCTCAGGCAATGAAAGAAGTGGACTTTTTATGCAAACTACCCTTTTTCGGGGTGAAGTCTACTTGGAGTCACATCAGAGTAGTGTTCATTAATGCAACCCAGTGTGGTCCGCATCGGAATCGACATACTATATCCTGCATTCATAGGAGACCGCAGAACGCCAATCCTAGATTACTCTGGACATTCCGTATCATAGCTAACAGGGTGTGAATCAGTAGCCTTAACAGTAGGAAGTTTGACTTAAGAGTCCGCTGACAAAACTGAACTTGGGTGCAAGTTTACGGCCTGCCCCGCCTTGTTAGGGTAGATAGGTCATAAATTGTCGCCCCAGTCACATTTGCTTTTGCTAGTGAGTTCATTTACTTACTTTATTTGGTCTGGGGCCAGGTTCTGGATAAAAACATTACGCAAATGCCTCAGAGTTGGAGGGTCTACCTTTTCAAATATACGAGTTCTGCTTTCTAGAGCCACATTCTAGGATCAAATGTGACCCTAAGATAGAGGCTTTGCAGTGATATGTCCGCCACGGCCTGACTTTTTCTGGCGAAATATGGGCATAGTCTGCTGCATTCTCGGCATGGTATCCTAGCCACATCATTTGCCCTTAAACTGTTAGTCGATTTTGATCTTTTCAAATTTTCCTCATTCATGACGAGTTTTTATTGTTGGAGATCAGGGACGCAGGAATGTCCTTGACAAGTTTACATACCTCACTTCATACGGTCTATGACGTACTGACGATTGATAACGACCGTGAAACAGCCGCCTGCGACAGGCCTGGCGTACCATTAGTGAGCTGCATATGTATTATATGCGGTGCGTGGCCTAGGACCCAACATTCGTTGTCGTCAGTGGCAAGCTGGCCGGTAGGCAGACTGGGATCGAGTGCGATCCTAACTACAACATTGAGTGTCAAACGCCTACTTGACACGGGAATGTCCGTTTGTGATCTGTTTGGAGCCACTAGTTAGTAATACCTCCACCCCATGGCCATCTACTCGAGACCTGAATCCAAGCTATTTCATGAGCGAGTGCCAGAGAAGACAGTTTGACCATGGCGAAAGACGACGTCCACCGAGTGTATCCTGGCTGCGTGCAGGACAGTGGCTTGTGCGTAAGCTGGTTAACAGTGATAACTGACTTGCGTTGCATCTGCTGTGCTCTCTTCTACCGTGGCGAAACTGTGCCAGGGCGACCGAAAGCGGGCTCGGGCGCAGTGACTGACAAAAGTTGAACTGGCCATCTACGCGTGCCACACAAGATCTGGTACGCACACGATGGGCCAAGGGGGTGGTTCGGATCCCAACAGAATAGGAGTTCCAAAGAGGTCACATTCAGAAGGAGCCACTACAGCAGCGACAGAGAATGGCAGGTGGCGAGACACCGATGAACTTCGGTTCGATGAAGTGCTGATGACCCATCTGGTAGACCCCAGTGGTGAACCAACTGCACCAAGGGCGTCTGTTCGCATGTTTGTGTTTCTGGTCACAGCTGTTGGTCAGGATTATGAGTGGCTGAGTGAAGGCACGATAAGCCCGAAACAGAGCCGTATCAATCTACCCGCATTCTCTGTCGTCCCCGCTCGCTGCTATTATGACTTGGCCGACTTCGGTCTGGTAACTGTCTGCCTGTTGATGACCTTTGCCACCCATACGGACTTTGTTTGCTTCGTAAAGCCAATAGATCGGTGTGCGCCCATGCCTAATTGGAGCCATTACAGCCTGACTCTTCAGCCTGAGGGTCCTATAGCGGGTAGGCAGTGAGAGTGTACTCAGAGCGCTACAATCATCAGACCAAATCCTCTGTTGTAGGGAAGGACAGAAGTCATCAGAATGAGGGATTTGTTGTATACAGAAAACTGAGCCATCCTCCCTGGCGGCAGTGGCCGCTGGCGAAGGAAGGGCTGGTGTTGACTGGGTCCAAACATGCCGGAGGGTTTATGAGACAGTGGTGGCAGCTGCTTTTATGGGTTTGTAAGGAACAGGCTCAACTGGTGTCCAGTTGGTGTGTTGCATTTGCCGGGGCTTGGTGTTCAAGTGGAGTATGCTGAATTTGTGGGAGGGGGGGGGCGTGTTGAAACGACGCATTGGCAGCTGGGACCCTGTGGATGTACGTGTGTCCGAGTTGAAATCGGTCGAGTGGCTGCAGGTCTGCGAGGCTGGAACCGCTCACTACGAAGGTGAATGACCTTGAGGCAACGCGGCCTTAAACAGGGATGCCAGACGTGGCCAGGATGGGTGTAGGCAATAGGCTCGAGTTACACCCTCGGTCTGTGGCCTTCGAAACCACGACCTTTAGCTCATCTTGATAGACTCAAACTTGTCGGATTTACTATTAACGAAGAATGCGCTGACGTGTCGTGAGTATTGATTTCCCAGAGTCGGCCTCACACTCTCTTCCCTCTCACATGCACCCGTCGACTAGTCGAGCCTGTCAATAAACTGGTGCTGGGATTGGACGCACTGGCTGATACGTCGTGATGCGACGTCCCACCACACCCTCCATGGGGGACAGAATTTGTGTTCGCTCAGGCTCTACGCAGACCAGCTAACGCGCACCGTGAGCCCTTCCGGCCCCGTATCTGTCCAGCGTATCTGCAGCGCGGTTCGTTGGGATGGCCTTCAGTGAGCTTCTGCTCCGGTCTATCTTATCACTAAAGGGCACTCCAACCTTCGGACTGGCAAAGTGGCTGTTCCAACGTCTCAAGATTCTGACCTCCGATTCGAACACCACTGTCAGCTCATCAACGCAATTCTTGGAGAAACTTAAAGGAGTAAGTCTCCTGCCAAGCGATGTCATGGTTTCCTTTGATGTCACGTCCCTTTTTACTTCTAACCCACAGGACCTGGCAGTCCAGACCATCAAACTACTCCTACGAGAGAAATACGACGAAACGGAGAATCGCCTCGGACACGCCCAAATCATCCAGCTCCTGAAGTTCTGTTTCAAGACGTACTTTACGTTCGACGGAACAATCTACGAGCAGGTAAAGGGAACGCCAATGGGTTCAATGATTTCGGGACTCATAGCCGAAGCGGTCCTACAACGGCTGGAGTCCCTGGTTTTCCGACACCGCAGACCGAAATTCTGGGCTCGATATGTGGATGACACCTTCGTCGTCATTGGATGGGATCGGGTGCTGACTTTTAAAGAACATCTCAATGCCGTCTTCCCGGACATTCAATTTACGATGGAGGAGGAGGAAAACAATCAGCTGGCCTTGCTGGATGTCGTCGTCTGCCCCAAAGATTGTGGTGGCCTAAAAACCAAAGTGTTCAGGAAAGCGACAAATACGACGCAAATACCAAGCTTCAATAGCAACCACCCGATCAGTCACAAATGCAGCTGCGTAAGGGTGCCATACCGGCGCGTTGATATGCACTGCAGTGAAATGGAAGACAAGGTTGATGACTTACAATATCTTCGACGGGTAACGAGAGACAAGGGTTGCCCGCGCAACTTTGTAAACCACTGCATACGAAAAGGCACCAGAGACCAAATCCAACCGGCCCCAAATTCTGGTGGGCTCTTCCGTATATGAAGAACGTCTCGGAAGCCGTCAGTCGTCTTCTCACTCCACTTGGATTTGGGGTTGCACACAGGCCGGAAGCAACCATTAGGCGCCAAGTCATGAGGCCAAAAGACCCGCTGCCACGGCAGGAAACGTCTGGAGTCGTTTACCGGATCTGGTGTGGTTGCGGACAAAGCAACTATGTCGGAGAAACTGGGAGATTACTACGTATACGAATTGTCGAGCACGCAGCAGCAGTGAGGCGGGGAGAGGCTAGCTCTCAGGTGGAGGACACTCGACGGTACCCGGCCATATTTTCAAATTTCAAGAGGCCGAAATCCTCGCAAGGGGTGACAACCGCGTGAGTCGCGAGATGCTCGAGTCATGGTTCTCAGGCTCGCAGTCCATCAAAAAGCACAATGACCTCCCGGTACCATACTCCGTGCTGCGATTTTCCCTGAGCAGGAGAATCAGTCACGTGGGCAGGGCGCGGGCGAGCAATTATCCCAGTGACAGTGACCCAATTTGCCGAGCAATCGTCACACCAGCATCCAACACGGATGACGAAATCACGTCAATTATCGACTCGGACTGGGACGGACAAGCCACCACCGCATCAATTACGACCCCAGCGGTGATTGCGAGAACTGTTAATTACAGCGCACACATGGTCCCACGGCGGCAACGTGCTATAAATACTGCACTCCTTGTTCCACCATCACTTTTATCTGCGAATGTCTCTTTTGATGGAATCGAGTGAGAATCCGAGACGTCAGGCAAATAAATTTCTTGTTCCAGTGATCGCATCTTCATCTTCTGAGCTTCTGCTATATCGGCTGAGAGATTGGAAGCGTTCTTTCGCCTGTTTAGGCCAATTTATTCAGAGTGATAAGGGTGCATAAATCAGAAATATCTATTCCACTTTTTTGTTTTTTTCTCTCTGAGGCGGAAATTTCGTCGCTACTAATTGCTAGTCGTCATACAACTGCATAGGTGTGCTCTAAACCCCGAGACTGAAACCGATCAGTTTGAATCGGTGTACGCAACTTTCATGCGATTGTTATCGTATGCTCCCTTATGATTTCCAGTAAAACAAATCGATAGACTGGGACCATCGGCCTCCTTCCAGTAAGGGCCTCCTGCTCCTCAGTGGCACGAAAACAATCTCTTAAATTAATAGGTGACTTATGAAAGCAACCCTATCTGTTCCTAATAGTCGGCAGTCGGACGTCTGTTCTAAGCCCAGTTATGCGGTTTGCCTTGCCTACGCAGTAAAATCCAAATCATGCAAATTTTCACCTTACCTGAGGTGCCCCAGTGAGCCTGAAGTCGCCATGGTACTCGTCAAATGAACGCCGTCGCAAACGGTGGCACGGCACTGACTGAAACATGAGGGTTGCTAGGTCAAGAGTACAGCAAGCGATATCCTCGATCTCGCCACCTGTTCCAGTGACTCATACATGGACGCTCATGGTGGCTTCAATGTAGTTGATGTCACCATGGTTACCACGCCTATTTGACATTTATGTTCGGGTCGCGAAGACCGGAAGAGGGTGCGAAGACACATCTGCCTGAAGCGGATGCTGTAACTGTTTAGTCAGAAAAAAAATCAGCATCTTCCTACTCTCCTGTCAAGTGACGGAAGAGTAGATTGTTGCAGGCAAAGGCAAGACTGGAATGTGTAGTGTAAACAACAATGAAGACTTCAAGGAAACAATAGATACAGAAAAAAATTTAACCCTGGGTGGTGGAAGATGCGTCTCCCACAAATATTGACATCGAAAATGCAACAAAGGTAAATTTTTTGTACGGTCTCACGACAAATAGAGACCCCTCCAGTATCCGGATTGTTGTAACGGAAAGTGGACAAAGTCCAGAAAGTCCCGAGTCGAGCTAAAGTCGGTTTGAAGGGCTTGTTGCACGGATAAATTCACGTCCGACGTGATGCGATCGAGGAATAAAAACTGATTGTCTCAGTTGACTAGAACGGATCGAGGCACATGACTCTAATTAATGATGGAGGAATAAACAGTTGCGGGGAAAGGCAAGACCGGAATATAACCCTCCCCCCTCCCCCCGAAACGCATACATCCATGGCTGCTACCTACCTTCGTTGGACAGACGACTGCATTCGGTTATCCACCTTGGAAAGGATATTTCTGACAGTTTGTTCACCATGTTCATTTGCTTGGACTACAACGGTTCAGCCGACATCTAACCTCGAGCCCAAACAGCAGCCGCACAGCGGCGCATGATATAGGCAGAATGGCAATACCGAGGCGTGGACTTCTAACTAACAGATCGCGAGTTCGAGCCTCGGGCGTTCCACACTTCGGGGTTGGGTATGACTGGCTGATGACGGCCAATAAGCCAGAAATGGACATTTCAGTCTCACTTGTCTTTGTCGGTAATATAATTCTGCCTATATCATGCGCCACTGTGCGGATTGAGAGAGAGCCCGTAAGGCACAACGGGACGAGTGAGTTCCGTAAGGACGATCGGTGAGCGTCCCCTACTATTGTATATTCCCGATCGAAAACCTACAGGGCACCGGGCTCATGGCCCAGTGGTTAGAGGCGTGTAATTCTGGCTAACAGGTCGCGAGTTCAAGCCTCGAGTGTTCCACACTTCGGAGTTGGATATGACTGGCTGAGGACGGCTAATAAGCCGGACATGGCCATTCCAATCTCCCTTGCCTTTGTCGGTAATGCCATGCTGTTCAATGTCTGCGAGAACGATACCAGTGGAACCACTCCCCAACAATGTCGTCCCATCTTTGCGCACATTTCCTGCAAAGTTCCGCATTGTTTAAATATTGAACCTTGCCCCAACAACCATACGTTATTATGATTGCAATTTTTACAACATCAATAGAAGTAATTCCCCATGATGGAAGGTAAGTAAGGCAAGTAAGGTAAGTAGGCAAGTATACTTCTCGAGGTTAGATGTCGGCTGAACCGTTGTAGTCCAAGCAAATGAACATGGTGAACAAACTGTCAGAAATATCCTTTCCAAGGTGGATAACCGAATGCAGTCGTCTGTCCAACGAAAGTAGGTAGCAGCCATGGATGTATGCGTTTCGGGGGGAGGGGGGAGGGTTATATTCCGGTCTTGCCTTTCCCCGCAACTGCTTATTCCTCCATCATTAATTAGAGTCATGTGCCTCGATCCATTTTATTCAACTGAGACAATCAGTTTTTATTCCTCGATCGCATCACGTCGGACGTGAATTTATCCGTGCAACAAGCCCTTCTAACCGACTTTAGCTCGACTCGGGACTTTCTGGACTTTGCCCAGGTGTTCCACACTTCGGGGTTCGGTATGACTGGCTGACGACTGCTAATAAGCCAGAAGTGGCCCTTCCGGTCTCCCTTGTCTTTGTTGGTAATAACATTCCATCCATATCATACGTCGCTGTGCGGATGCTGGTTGGACTCGAGAGGGACCCGTAAGGCACAACGGGACGAGTGAGTTCCGTCAAAAAACGATCAGTGAGCGCCCCTCTACCATGCTATGTGGGTACCCGTCAGAACCCCTAGTAGAATAATATTTGGGAAATATAAGTGTCAAGTCCCACTCAACCGAAGTTTCCGTCTGGTTGCGGGCGTTTAAGTAGTTCGAACTATCGCAAGTACTTACAGCGTCGAAATTCCTGACACACTATTAAAAAAGACCTGGAGCTGATTTATTATTAAAACATTTCCAAAGAAACTGCCCAGGAAACAACAAATAAGGCAGAGAGCGGCCTCATCTCAATCAGTAGTTAAGAGGTAATCAGTCAAAGGGGAAAATAAAATTCAAGGTATTGAAAGCGGACATTAGATCCTTACAAATGAAGTCCTTTTGTTGAAATAGCTAAAGTGCGTACACGAATCTGTCTTCATTAAGCCGTATTTATAACAATACACACGAAAGGTTGGGTAAGGTTCGGAAACACGGTCTTGCTGGGAAATGGGGAAAGCCAGGCGCGTCCAATATGGAAACTGTTGAAAAAAGGGCTTCATGGATGAGGCTGCGGGAAAATAGTGGAGAATGCGCGAAAAATTAGGGAAAAAACGCTGGTATTATAGGTAAATTTTCTAGTTTATTTTAATGAATACTAAATCTCAGCGCAGGGACCGCAAAGTACGAAAATTTAATGTGCAACGGCGCATAACGTTTTCTGGTGCTCTGTATGTACCCTTTTTCTTTCTTTTCAGGGAGGCCCTCAGTGAACGTCCCGGCGGAACACACTGATGCGGAACCGGACTAACCGGATGTTTGAACGGGTCCGGGACTGTTGAGTGGGGCTTGTGAAAAATCGACTAGCAATAAACGCGTGTCGGCTAATTCGTCTCCTTCTTGTTATCTCTCGCCCTGCTCCTCTGCCTGATGTCCGCTCGTTGTCGTTGGTCCCGACCGATCGCTAATTTTCCTCTTAGACGTTCGTCCACCCAGCATTTAGCTCGACTTTACAAACGCAGATAACCAGTAAAACAGATTCCCAGACGCATAACAGTGATTGGCCCGTCAAGGTCATTTAGAACTGAACCGCCTAAGAATGTGACCAATCGGACGTAAACCGTAGACGGAAGTTGTGGGAAGTGGGGCCCGAACGGCTCCTTAACTATAAACACTAACCCTAAACCTTAATTTCTAACGTAAAACCCTAACCCTAACGTAATTGTGAATCTCAATCGCAGCAGTCCACGAGGCACCTCAAATGGAAAGTATCCGTAAGTAGTACTACGCCTTCCGAAATCAGTAGTAGGACGAAAGCGATAATTTGCTAACCAGGCAGGACAGCGTTTCCGAACCCCACCAAGAGTTGAAATGAGGGCAGAATATGAATTAAACAGAATGGAAAAACCCTCCTCACCAATCCAGGCTTTAAATGTCCTCCAGGAGAAGATCAACTCTGCAGTCTGACAGCCTGGCGGTCGTTCAGCTCAAAAATGAGGCGCAGGGCACAACAAAACGAGCCTGTTTCATAACCTGTTCCGCAACGACGCTTCCGCATTAATTACTATTCTCAATACAACGGTAGTAGCCGTAGCTCAATGATGATACGTCGAACATGACCCACAGGTGCTAAAGAATCCAGACTCGGATCTCAGGTCATCCGAACCCACGGTTGGGTATAGCTGGTTGAAGACGTCTAAAAAATCAGGAATTGTCGTCTCAGCCTGGTTTGCGTTTGTCGATATTCCATTCTTGCGTTATTACTGACCGCAGACTGCAAACCGGATGGCAAATTTACTGCGCCTAGGCTAAGGTAAGCAAGTGGGTCCGCCTATGTGACCTCGACTTAAGATATACAAAAACTAGACCATTTTTTTTTTCAGTTCGGTTCGACTGGGGCCTTTTGTCATCAACCTTAACATTGCCCAGCCTTCGGCACTGACGAAACGTAAAGCTAAACCTGGGACAGACAAGATCAGTTGCTTATCTGTTTGAAATACAGAGGAATATGTGTGTGCATGTTTCACACGCTCCCGAACCGGGGCTAAGAGTCTACCGATTTGCCTGGGCGATTACAGAAGACAGTTCAGAAAAACAATGGTGGGATGAGTTGTGAGACAACTCGGCCCGCACCCCACGGGTTACATTGGCGAAATTATGAGACCCTGATACCAAACACATCTACGGTTGTAGAACTTCCATCTGCCTGCCAAGCTTAACTGCCATATTTGTGGGCGCAGGGGGGGGGGGGGGTAAGCAAGTGCTCCTGTTTCTATCAACTAATTTCCTTCCCTTTTAATAAACAAAATTTTAGGTACTGATTGCCTAAACCGACGTCAAGCCGAACACCAACCCGCCTACGTGATTTCACCCTCCTTCAGATTTTGTAAAAGGTAGTCAGTTTAGGGAGTTCGAAGAGTGCACATTTTCTTCATATGAACACTGTCAGTGCGTCTAATCGCGCGCAAAGCTTAGAACATCAGAATATCGACGCCACAACTGCTGTACGTCATTGTCATCCAGTGTGAGTGAAAAAATTCCTCTAAAAAGTTTATTTTTGTGATTTCACCAATGGACTGAGCGTTACGCGCCAATCAGTCACCCTCTGTGCTGCCAAAGAGCGTCAGGAAAGTTTATTTTTTGTAGAAAAAGAGTTTCCTTGGGGTCATTCTGTCCTTCATAGGTCTGTAGCTGCAGTGTGCAGCCGAAATTGATTAACTCGTTGGTTGCAGCACTTATCCGTGTGTGCGTGTTGATGGGAAGCACGGTGTTGCCTAAAGGCCCGAAAGCGGCTGCAATGCCAGGATCAGCAAGCCATGGCGCTCGCAGCCTGGTATGCGCCGGCAGCCTTCTGACACGTAGTTCCCTGTCGGTAGCTGCGCCCGCGCTCCCGCGAGGTATATAAGTCATGGGCATGGCAGCATGGTAGCTGCCGTTGTTGTTATTTCGTTGGTGATGTTATTGGTTAAAATCCTGGTCACTTGTTGTGTGAACCAGGGGGTGTGGTGGTACGCCTAAGTGCGGACTCTGTCGTGCCATCCACCAGCGCCCTCCTCCGCCTCCGGTCTTCTTGACTCTGTCTTGACACGGAACTCAGGTGGGGAGTAGGCGGAGAGGGTGCTGTAGATGCTGTGTAAGTCTACTACAACTATAAACTAGCTCACGCACCGTGCCTGCTCTCACCTTGCCGTGGAGCGCACGGTGGACATCGTCGGTAACGACGGCCCAACTATCGCGGTGTGGCTTTATGTCTACTTATGTCCGTTTGAAATACTTCAAGCCAATGAAGGATGGTAATATGACAAACCAAAATGAAATTGCTCCGAGCACGAACCTTGCCTATCCTGGAACGTCATCCATTGGAGTTGCACTTTCATGAACTCAATAGATAAATGCATTGCGTCTTACAAATTCCTGGTAGCGTTACGAGTTGGTCAACTCCATTTTTTTCCTTCCTTGATTGGCGCCAGTTTTCTAGTTGGTCGCAGGAAGTTCTCATCATCCCACGTGGATGGCCTAGACCTGAGCTCGAACGACTCCAGTCAAGTGATAACCTACTTGAACGTCTGTGTAGAAGCCTATCGTGACTGTACGATTTTTAGTCTGACGTCGAACTGTTTGTGATAGGATTGGTGCCAGCAAAACCACCGCCTACAGCACAAGTCGCAAAAGCTGATTAATTGGACCGAGAGAAATGCGCACCAACTTTCGGTTTATATACAAGCGCCTGCGGCCTGGCAGCCGCTGCAAAAGAAGCTCACCCGCCCACAGTCTTGCATAAATGCAAATTAGCCCTGCAATGGCGTCGCGATCAGCTGCCACCAATTGGCCATTTCCCCCACGTTTGCAGCCGAGCAGATAATCGCCCGGTCAGACAGACCGCCAGCTGATCGAAGCCGGCAACTCTCAGAAGACCTCAGTCAAACGCCATATTGACCTCCTGCCGCCTCTACACCTGCGACATGTCCTATTTATTAGCCACGAAGCCTCACAAATCCGCCATCCTTTGTCCCCATTTTCTTGTCACGGACGATGAACCCCTGCAAGAGCCGGGAGGTATGACAGGACAGAGCATGGTTCTTGCTTCCAGATAGTCCTCTGCTTTTCGTAGACCTCCAGATTCGAGTACCTCCATTCAGTCAGGCAGTCTTTGCCTCACCGTGACGCTTTCTTTTGTCCCCCCCCCCTCCCCCAAAACGGGCCACGCGGTAGATGCGGTGGACCAACACGGGGGCCCATCGGTTTCTGGCAGGCTTTATCGGATTTGCGCACCATAACAAATGCTAACATTCTGGGGTGCGGTGGCAGACCCGGCTGCCTGCAGACGTCGTGCATACTGGGACCCCTGCCGCCCCCCCCCCTTGTCGTTGTTGATCAGAAACCTGGTCATTTGTTGTGTGGACCCGGGGGTGTGAAGTGGAACGCCAGGGTGAGGGCTCGACCGTGCCATCCACCTGCGCCCTCTCCCGTCTCCGGTCTTCTTGACACCAGGTTCAGGTGGGGATGGAGGAGAGAGTGCGGTAGCTGCTGTGCAAGCCCACTATCATTATAAACTAATTCACGCACAAGCCACCGTCCCTGCTTCGCCATTCTGTGGAGCACACTGTGGACGTCGTCGGCAACGACGATCGAACTGTCGTAACTCTTCCGTCGACACGCCCTCAGCTAAAGTCCAATCAGGTGCTATTTCCCACTAACTGTCCAGCAATTCCATCACGCATATGAAAGGGGTACAGTTTCGCTTGTTGGGATTTCAAGACGCCAATCTACCCAAAAAAAGAAAACACATAGACGCCAAGAGGCCAAATTTGTGCACAATACTACGACTGTTGCATTTGCTATTAGTGTAGAACAAACCTTCGGTGAAAAGAAGTGCTAAACTGCCGCAGAGTTGTTAGAGGAGTTGGTGGGAAATTAGAGTTTCGTAGCTACTATAGCATGATTCCTATACTAACAGCTACTGGTCAGAATACATACTCTACAATGCGAAAATTAAATCAAAATTAACTAATAACAATTAAGCAATAAATACTTATTGAATATCGCATAAGAATGCTAGGAAGTGGTCTTTATCTCCTTTAAAAACACGCCGGCAGTGTTCATCCAAGTTTCCCTGAAGTAGACGCTGTGGAGCTCTACCATTTTTCCTCAAAACTTAAATCTTGCTGTCTAACCAATTCATCTCGGTGTGCTTGAGTACGCGCACTTATATTTGGATCAACATAATTTTCCTGGTGATTGACGGTTTTGTGATCATACCCAACCCGATAAAGTCGCCGATAGGCTGGCCATTCGCCGAAATGTATTATTGAACCCGCTTCTACTTCGCGTTCAATTATAGGAATTAATACGAATGGAAGTGAATATGCGCATCCCAGGCTCTTGTTTAAAAGAAGACGAAGACACGATCTCTGGAACGGTGGATTTATTCGCCTGAGCTTTCGAACTCGATCTGGAGTTCATCATCAGAAAATACTTGAGTGCAGCAAATTGTGAACATTTATATCGCTGTTCCTTGCGGGGGGGGAGTGAGTACGTCCATGGCTAGATAGGGTTTGTGCCGCGTGGTCCACGATGGTCCCCCGGCGTGGTGACGCCGTTTGTACTTCGCGACGGTGTGAGCTGCGCCACCTGGCTGCGTGGGCGGAGCGCGTAATAACACACAGGCAAATCGATGTGTCTGTTGATAGAGGTGGTGTCCGACACCCACGCCTCCAACAGTTCTCGCCCTGTCTTGTTGCCGGCTCGCGCCAATATCCGCGTGTTGGCGAAGTCGAACTCATGGCCTTCCTCCAGCGTGTGAGTGGCTAC